GCATTGGGTGGAAGAAACAAATGTACTAAACTGATACTTTATATTTTGTGGGTATGATTTCTCTCATTCACTCCAGGTTGGACGCTGCTGAATCTATGGACATGACAGAGTGGCATCTTGCAATCTTACCTATGAATCTGAAAGAAGGACCATAGTTTTTGGTAATCACAGCCACACCTTCACACCCCTACTCCACCTGGGTTAGGGAAAGCTCAGAGTCACTGGTCCAGCATTGACCAGCATTGACAAAATAATCCATTACTAAAGGACATCACATTTGCAAGAGTTCCTCAGGTTGCCAGTGTGTGTCCAACTGCAGTTCCAAGTGCTGGTTGTTATCTTTAAAGCCCCAGGTTTATCAGAACCTGGATATCGAAGAGAGCACCTTTTCTATATTGATTCTGCCTAGATAACCTAAGTGGCCCTACTTTAGAGTCAGGGAGGTTGGGCAGGAGAGGGAATCATTAACCTCTGGAAGGTTTTTGGGATGGACAATGAAATCAGTGGTACCTATGCTTGGTATAATAATTTCAATGTCAGTGTATATCTTTATCTTTCATATTTTTTATATTTGTAAACTGTCTAGAATCCATTAGGATTGAGGCCAAGATAAATTATACAAATAAATATTGGCATATTGCTACATCTGGTGTGTCGTAGCAATTGAGATCCTGTAGGTGACGCTAGCAGCACACCACAGCGTCCTAGACCTATAGGGGCCTCTTGGCTACTGGCATGATCTCATTCTCTATATCTTGGTGAAGGTGGAAAGTCCCAGACTTTCCAGACTTATAGATTATCTCATTTACTAACATCACCACTAGTCTTAAGTATTGGTTGGGAGCTTGTACCAATGTGTTTGGGAGGTTGCACCCATGTGGGATCTATTCTGCAATCCAGATGCTGTATCTATGTTGCCTTTGTTTTCTTGTAAAAACCCTATAAATGTAATAAACGCTGCCCATGCAGTCAGGCATCTTGGCACCCTGCACAATGCTCTCTGAAATTCATCATTTTGGTGCCCAAACAGGGACATCAACCCTGCGGGGCGGGGCCATCAACCCTCCGGGATAGGCAACAGCCAACATGCTTACCATCGTCTGGAAACAGACCCCTAAGGTGCGCACCTGTGGTAATATAACCTATTGATCATTTTATCATTTTCTGTAAGGCCT